TTACTAACTAACGATTGAGACCATAAACTCATTAGGAAAGTATTTACTGAGGTTACTGATAAATCAAGTGATAAGCAAGGAAATTTTGCCATGAAATACAATGCAATCTGGCTTCTTTTTGCAATGAGTGGAATTTCACCTTCTTGGCCATTTCACATTTCCGCATGGGCTTCACTTTTGAGACCCGGAGGCTTTTGCTTGGCCACACATTAATATTCTCACACAGTGAAAGACAACTGAGAATGTATAAACTGATAACATCGACTCGCGGCGCGAATAAACTCTGCTCCACTGATGCGTCAGTGACGTATGCCGTAATAGTAATCAAGTGGACCCACTTTCGCACTGTGAATCTTAGTAAGTTTGTGAAAGAGTGGTAACGGATCTGGTAAAGTTTTGCAATATAACAATTTAAAAACTGAGGAACTTGCTCTGTTTTGGCTGTCTCGCCACTCCAGGATTCTTCCTACTGAAGTGGCTGTGGGCTGCACTTTATCAGAGGTGCTGAAGTTAACATTTTAGTGGATTTGGGGTGAGATTTTTGCCTGATCAGAAGTGTTTTCAGTTAGTTTGGGTTTTCCACTTTCTTGTCTCATCCAGTACAATCCCAAATGGTTCTGATGTCTTTCAGACAGTCTGAAAGGGATACAACCACATCAGCAGAGCAATAACACAGGCTATTGCACAGTAAAGTATAGGGCAGGTAGACCTTTAAAGAATAATATGAATTCCCATTAAATGATGACGTTCCTTTCATAATGTTACGTCTCTTTTCTCAACATGTCAGAGAACACAGATATGTGGGATAGATTTTGAATGAGCAGAAAGTTTTGAACATGAGCAGAAAACTTGCTCAAATACAGGAGTTATTAAAATCAAACTCTCTGCCTTTGCAGCACAGTGGCCTACAGCAAGTGTTTCCCAGCTGATTCAAATGATCAACTCGTTATGAACTGCTGAAGCTAAATGCTAAATCAGCTGTGTGGGAGCAGAGAGAGATCTAAAACATGCAGGACTAGGGTGCCTCCAGGAGAGAGTTGGGAAACAGGCGCTGCCCACTGCTCCCTTCAGGGATGGGTTAAATGCAGAGGATGAATCTCGCTACATATATGTATGTGACAAATAAAGTACCTTTACCTCTCACTGTTTGTGTAGCCGTCATAAAGTGCTGTTCTAACCACATTCCTTAATGACATTTCACCTTCATATTACTGATGTTGTTATTGTTGAATGTGATGTGTGGATTGGCAGGCAGGATCTTTAAAATGAACACTGTGAATAGTGGCTAGGTGAAATAGGGTGAAGCATCTCCCCATTAAGAGAGACACTGTGTGCATTTACGCACGAGGCACAGCAACATAACTTCATATTTAAATCTCCCGACACATCAACAGGATCAGTCAGGATCTAATGTTAATATATATGTTCTTCTACACATCCAAAAAGGTCTCACACACAGTCCAGGTTCATACAGTGAAACTGTTTGAAGTAAAACAGCCATCCTCCTGATCAATCCTGAGCTCCATCAGCGCATCTAAAAATGGATTATAGAAGCTAAAACTTTTATTCCGCTTCCTCTGGAGAGTTTCCTCTGCCTGTCCTGTCAAGTTTATTACTGCAGTTTTTTTGTTTTGTCCAACAATATTTGCTTTGACATTACTGCGCATGGAAACGTTTAAATGACAGCAGCCTCTCTAATCGTCAAAGTAAATTGTTAAAGAAAAGAGTCATACCAACCACACAATAAAGAAATCACCTGGAAAGCTACAGTGACAGCTAGAAGTGGGTTAAAATGTCCTTGCGGGTGCTGGTCTCTAAATCTGAGAAAATAATTTGTTTGGTGGGGGACAGGTAGATGATTTATGCGCACATGAGGATTCAGATAATGTCGAAGCGTATTCACACATCACATCAATTCAGCTGCTATAATCGTGACAAAACAGTGCAAACAGCTGCTGACGTCAAATTAATAGTCTGTAATATCAACCAGAGCATTCAGCACTGATCTGCTTTGTTTCATGTTGTAATAATAGTGGCCAGTATGTTGTCTACGCATCTCATTCCTACAGTAGAGTCGTGTGATGACAGTTGTAACTCGTGCTATATGTTACTGTGTCATTTCTTAAAGGGACTGATGATGAAACGCTCACCTCATCAAGCTGAGGGCTGAAATTATCTCCCATTTTCAGGCAAAAGCTGCACCGCCAAAAAAAAGTTGTTCGATTTCTGTGTAGTGTGTGATTAGGCTACTGTAATCTGTGACTGTTTTCAACATACAATATAGTGTTAATTGCAACCTTGAGATGTTTCTACATACCATAATGTTGACAGACATGTTTCTGGATTGTGAAGATTATTGTCTGTAGCCTTTATGTATTAGTGTTGACAGCTGGTCTGCTCCTTTAACGGATATCAAAGCAGAAGGCTCAAAACATAGACAGATAATGCAGCTGTGCAACATGTCATATTTAACTGACGTCGCTTTAAAATGACAGCTCCGGGGCAAGGACATCTCATTTCTTAAAAACCTGTTTCCTCGATTCCTCTCTCCTCACGTCTCCTCCTCAACTCCTCCGGGTGGGAGGGACTAAGATGCGAAGCGAGGAGTCGAGGAGCGGGGAGTTGAGGAGGTACAAACTGACAAATGAGAAAGGCCTCAGGAATGATCAGCATTTAAACACTGGCTAACCAGAAGGGCGGGAGCACAAATTAGGGCAGCAGACAGACATAGACAAGCAGGGTGATTGACAGACTGAACACAGACAGGTTACAAAACACAAGAAAGAATCAAACTGGAACTTTGGGTGACTTTTTATAAATAGGCAGACAACATAACCAAATAGTTTTTGTTGATCTGCAGCTTGGTACTCTTGACATCAACTGGCAACCAGGGTTTGTTATGAGGGATTATTTAGTTGAATCAGCATGTTGATCTGTATGTTATGTACTGTAAGTATGGCTGGATGTGACTGGACTAGGTTACATCTGTAACATGAATAAGAAGTCTGAAGTTTTTAGTGTGATACCACAACACCACTGCAGCTGCCACAACTAACCAGTTTCTTTTGAAGCATCTTATTTAAATACCACATGAGCTTTTAATTCAGTGTTACTTGTAAAATATTTACACAGACTGAGATAACAAGCTCAATTCTATGTCCATCTTAAAACTGGGGGGAAAATATTATACAAGATGTTCCTCCTTCATAGATTGAACTGTTAAATTGATATTTGGTCAACTGCCTCCCAGAGAAATCTCTGATTAGAAAAATTGTCCTGCTGCCTGTTAACAACACAGCCCCTTGCATAATTGTGTGTATAAATCCATACAGTGTCTGATCAGTATGTATAATAAAGCTCAGCTAATTGCCAGCTGTATATTCTAATTGTGGGACCTCCAACAGGTTCAGTGTTGACTGCTGCAAAAGAAATACAAAAAACAGCTCTTCTCCTCCTATCATAAGTCCCAATCACAATTTTTGTCACATCTGATGTTTGTTGCTCTTCCTCAAGGATGCTCATCTGCACCAAACAGTGTGTGTTCTTTGGCAGTGGTATTTTTATGGAAATTACACATTTAACTTTAACACTAGAAGCATGTCAGCTGTGCTATTTGGTTCTCACGTAACAGCACAGCGTGAGGATGTCAACCTTATTTCAACCATATTCATACTGAAACACCGGGTGTCCTGGAATAATGTGAAGCTCAGCACATTGAAGTGAATTCCGAGCATCCTCCACAGGCTGTGGTAGTTAGGCCTCCATACAAATGTGAGCATGTAAACAGAAGAGCACATCTTCAATGCTTTGGTGAAGTCTTTGAATTGCTTTGAAATACCATTCGATACTAATCAGCAGCATTGTACGGTCTAATTCATTTCCCTCCAAACTTTAATTCTCATGTAGATCTTTTCCAGTTTTTGTAACTCAGAAATTCATATCCTTTTTGATGTATTAATGTTAATTAAAAAAATACTAAATAAATTGAAATGTTAATAACTAATGGGTAATTAGGGCTGTTAATGAATACAAGAAATAATGTAAATAAGAATATAAATTGAGTGGGTTTACATAAATTACCAAAACCAACCATTTCAGTGCTTGATTGCATGTTTGATTAGAAATACTGTGTGTAGGAACTGCATTTGGTTTCTTTGTTTTTTGCTGCATGCAGTGTATACAGAGATCTGAATAATCTGATAACATAATGTTGAACAATCTAAAAACTGACAAATGCATATGATGCTGCAAAACTATTACAGAAAGTGCCATTACATGTACACAAGATATATTTAACAAAATATTTAGTCTTCATGAAGGAATCCGTTATCACTGCCAGTCCTCATTTGCTGGATGTAAGCACCACACCAGAGATCCCTGCACCAGGGTCTTGGGGCTCCCAGAGGTCTTCATTATGTGAGCAGTTAGTGCCACTGGTTTTGAGTCATCAAGGACTCAGGCTTCTCCTCTTGGGCACTCGGACATTAACATTTTCCACCATGGGGACGACTCTTCACAGTGAAAGATACAGTAGGCTGGAGAGGTGATAAAGGGCCTCTGCTTGTTGGCCAAATTGGGCTTTTAGCAGCATAGAAATGATGCCATCGTGGCCTGACTGCATAGTGATCCCCCAAATGTTCTCCAGCCTGAGTAACAGCCCATTTTTAAATCTGATGCCGCATCAGACCAGATATACTAAAGGAGTACAGAAACAAGGGTGTCTAAAGTAAATTAATAGATTGACATATGATATAAATAGAACAGTGGAAAATGTTCTTAACACAGAAATTTTTTTTGTCATTTTTCATCAAGTTAGTAAGTCAGTGGTGAAAATGTGTTTGTCATAAGATTTGAGTTTCCTGGCAGCACGAGGAATTGGGTTTTGTGTTTATAAAGTCAACCTCATACATTATTTCACTGCTCCAAAGAAGGACTAACTTGTAGCTAACATGGACATCAGGTGCATGATGTCAAAGCTATATCGGTGCAGCCTTTGGGACAGCTGTGGTTTCAAGTATTGAAGTCTGTGCGTGTGTGTATTGTAACTTTTTTTTACTTTGAGGCCACAACTGAACATTTTTAACTGAACTTTAACAAGGAAAGCAGACTCATTGCAAGGCTATTGTTGTGTAGGTGAATTACACATTTTCTCTTTTCTTTGCGTTTGCAATGTTTAAAACCAGGTGTGGCAGTGTGGCGGCAGTGTTGAGGTTCTGCCCTGCGCTCGCATCGCCCATATAGAGCGTGCTCACAAACCCTACACTGAGGATCTGACGTCTCACGTGCGGCGAAACGCCCTCAGAGTTGCAGAAGTTTGGATGGACGAGTTTAAAAGCCATGTCTACATGGCATGGAACATTCCCATGGAGGTGAGTGATCATGTCAGTCATGTTTTTTTTGTGAAATTCGCAGATCACAATATTTTCTGAGACTGTATGTGTGTTTATTTTGAATACTGAACAAAACCACATATTATCCAATTTTCAATAACAAAAGTTGTGTGAAAATCATGTTTTAAAAATACATTGCAACACAACCACTTAGCAGTTCAGCTGTTTTATTATCACTTTGAGGGACTCAAAGCTCATTTGGATTCGCCAATTTGTTACATAACAGACTTTGTTTTTGGCATTTTGCCTTTACTTAATGGGTTACAGTTGATATGCAAACAGGAAATGGAATGAGAGGTTTAAGTTGTATGTCATGCGTCTTAACCACTATGCTACTAAGATTCCCACAGCATTTGCCATTTTTATCTTGACTCTGTTTGAATTGAAGAGGATTCTATGCTGTGCTTTTTTTACTGCTCTGAACTAGGGCTGCACGATTTGGAGAAAAAGTCATATTGCGATTATTGAGATTATTGACATATAATCTGGGTAAAAATCAGTATATTACATTAAACCAATATGTGATTATTTTTTGTTGACAAGTGGAAAAAACAGAAACCATAAGCCTTAATCTGAGTAACTGAAGAGGAAAATATACCCCTGAAACACTTTTTCTTAAAGCAGAAATTCATCATAAGCTGTCCATTATAAAGTTCTGTCAGTTTAGCAGCTCTAAAGACAGCTGAGATGAAACAGTGGATGATTTTAACACAATCCTCAGGATGTACACGTGTCCTAATTTTTAGTTGTCAGATGTCAGCTATAGAACTGGCTGTAGACCTAACTGACAGATAGCAGAGCCATTTAGACATCATATGTGTGCAGAAAAGGAAGAAAACACCTCTGCATCAGTAATCACCAGTGAGCATTTTACAGTATATAAGTGTTATTGTATTTATAACATGTTGCAGTATAGATGTAGAAACAACAAAAAGAGTACCAGGCATTGTTTGATTTGCAGTTTTAATATTACCTGTATGCAGGATTTGATGTTGTCAAAATTCAAAGGGAGCATTCATACAGAAGTCAGATGCACAAACACAGAAGAAAATGTGCAGTGTTGAATGTCATCTGTTATCAGCTGTTCTCCTCCCATCACAGATGTTTAGTTGACTCAGGCCCCTGACACCTGCAGAGTGCTCAGATTAGATTATTTCTTGTCACATACAGAATGTCCTGAATTAAATACGTGCAACAGAATAAATAAATACTTAATGTGATTAAATAAAATGGTCTAAACTGAGACATTAGCATCAAGAAAATTCAGTGCAAACAACAACAATAACATTGATGAGTTAAAGAAAATATCTGGATTACAGCTTTGACTTTAGAGGAAAATAATGATGATAATAATAATAATTATAATACAAAGAGAAAAAATAAGTACAAAGATATAGATATACATAATTTATTTTATTCCAATGTGTATTTTTATTCTTTTTAATGTTTTTATTTGAGACTTTAATGTATTATTTGATATAAGACATTTGCAGTGTCATCAACTCAATATTTTTACAAAATGTCTCACAGTTTGCACAATCATCATGAATCTACCTGATACAAACCATATATGCTACATGTTGTCTTGTGTTTTTGGGATTGTAGTGTTATATTTCAGTGTTTTTAGAATGTAAATATTTTTATTCGATCTTGAACTGGATTCAGTAAATTTAAATAAATTATTGCACTGTCAACTTATGTTAAATGTAGCATCCCTCAAAGGCGAAGTCAAATGTTTGTTCACTGAAGCTTTTTTCTCCTCCCGCATAATCTGTTTGAATATGTAAATCCACATTATGAATAGATGAACATCTGCAGGCAATTCATTCAGTCAATAATGAGCCATTTAACAGAGTCTGTACTCAAGAAGCATGAAATTTAGCCCCAGCTTTAGCCCCATGAATTAACTACACAGCAAAACTGTCAGTGTTAATTTACCTCTGAGAGTGTAAAAATCAACATGGTGCCAACGTTCATATTACGTCTGCACCCATCTGAGTCCACTTGTTGATGTTTTTGAGCGCTAGAGAACATTTTTGAGTTATAAAAGGGAGGCATCAGTGACGTTGGGTGAAATCCAGTGCTAAACATGGGGCAGATTGTAAGAAGTACTCAGACCCTTTACTTAAGTAAAAGTGCCAACAACACACTGTAAAAAAAAATACTGTATTTAAATTCACACTTAAGTAAAAGTACAGAATTATCAGCAGCTAAATGTACTTAAGGTAAGGTAAAGTAAAAGTGTTCATTCATAGAATCTGCCTCTATGTATCATATGACATGATTACATTGTTACTGAGACATCAACGTGTAAGCAGCATTTTACTGATACCAGCTGGCCCTGGTGGAGTTACAGTTTATATACAGTTTGGTAGTTTAGTCCACTGGTTTCCAACAGGGTTGGTCCCCTCCAAAGGGTCACAAAGGGCCTCAAACTGTTATTTATATGTAGCAATGTGATCAGTTTAGAGGGAAATGTCTATTTTGTGGAACTGCTAACAACTCAACATTTTTGACATTTTAAAGCTGCAGTAAGGAATTATTTTAAGAATAGCATTTTGTCATATTTGCTAAAACTGTCTAAATCTTGACAGTAGTACATGAGAAAAAAAGAAAAGAAAAAAATTTTAAAAGTTTTTTAATCAGGTTCCTCTGGCTTCTCCTACTGCTCCTAATGTCATTTGCAAGAATCCACCACTCCCTGAACAAAACAACCAATCAGAGCAAGGAGCAGTCTCTAATACAGTGTTATGCAGTGTACGTTCAATTCTTACCGACTACAACTTTATACATAACAAGTCGCAAAAACATTGCCTTTCAAATTTAAGACAATATATGTTGGAAGCTACTGGTTTAATCTTAACAATGTATTGTATTTTATAAGCTTATTGTGTTTTTCTATGTGTAATTACAGTCACCAGATCAATGTAGTGGTGTAAAAAGTACAACATTTGCCTCTGAAATGTAGTAAAATGGGGTTCTGAGTAGCATAAAATGGTACCTAAAAGTACAGTTCTTGAATAAATCTACCTTCCATCAGTGGTAACATGAGACTGACTGTGAGTGTGGTTATGTAATGTGGCAGCTGGAATAGTACAGTAGATGGTTTTCAAGGCAGAACAGGAAAAAATCAAACCCTATAGAAGCTATTCAAATACACAACAAATGACTTCACAATGCTCCTCAATGGCCCATTATCTGATTTGCTTCTCCACAAGCCACAGTTAATCAATTTTATGCTTTGTGTGCATCTGTGTGTTTCTCTCTCTCTTTCTCTCTCTCTCTCTCTGTCTCTCTCTCTCTCTCTCTGTGTGTCTGGCTGTTTGCTTTAACCCAGGACTCAGGGATAGATATTGGCGATATCTCTGAGAGGAAGGCTCTGAGGAAGAGGCTGCAGTGTAAAACCTTCCGATGGTACCTAGTGAACATCTACCCTGAGATGAGGATGTACAGCGAAACCATCGCATATGGAGTAGTAAGCCGACCCCCCTCCCTCTTTATCCCAAATTCAACTCCGTGTCTGCAAAAGCCAAAACAAGGCTAAACCGTGCCTGAGCAAATCATTTTAATCCCTTGTGTTGGGATCCGGATGGCTGCTGTCAGGAGCACAAACAGTTCACAAAGAGGAGGTTTTCTGCAGAGACTTAGACTCTTTCCTTCTCACTTCAGAAGTTACTGAAAAATTATTTTCTGTTGGATTAATGTGATAAACTTAGATACATAGGCTACATACTGTAGATAAGCATGTAGATTAACTGAAGCTCATAAATATAGATGTAGTAGATCCCACTAGAGGGCTTTGCAGCTGAATTTTATTAGTCAGAGAAGCCAGAGAAACTGACAGCCAACAGGGCATGCTGGCAGTGTTTCTGTTTGCCCATTCTTAGTTGTTCTGAAACTGCTTTACTTCCACGGTCCTCCTACCTCGCATCACTGTGAAGCACCCTAATACACAGTGACACACAGGCCGCAATATTATGGCACTGCTTTCTATGTTGTAAGAATGTTTTTTTTTTTTCTTGTACACACTCACAAATGGTGGATGGATGTAGCGAGGAAATAGGCCAGCCTCATTACATTCATTTCTTCGAGTTAGCTGACCTCATTATTCTATATTTGCCACATGCATTTGATGAGCTAGTCAGTCTCTGTGGTTTGAGGAGTCATAATATGCTATGCCACTACTGTAGCATGGATAAAGATTATTTTAGTTTTTGTTTTCTTACTACACATTTCCAAAGAATGTGTTTGAGGTCAAATTTATTAATTGCTCCCTCATCCTCAAAAATAAAATAATAATAATAATGATGATGATTCTTATTATTATAATGATGATGATGATGATTCTTCTTCTTCCTCTTCTTTCACAAAGAGAAAAAGTAGAGATTTAACCGAAGCTAGAGACTTAGGCTACATCTACACTTCTACCTTTTTGTTTAAAAGCATTGTAGCTACGTATCAGAGTTGATCTCCGTCTATGTTAAAACGGCTGAAAATGCACATCTAGTGGCCGTTCACGTACACATGGCATGCATGTGCAGGCGTAAACAGGAAGCAGATTGTCTACTCCGCAGCTGCAGAAGATTTGGTGAAAGAAGAAAGTACCACACCAGAGATTTTTTTTGCATGGGCCGACAACGGGGTGGAAACTGTTACTGAAAGTCTGCGTTTTAGAACTTTTTGTAAATCACAAATTGAAAAAAATCACCTAATTTTAAAGATTATCCTGAGCTGGAAGAAACATGACTGAACAGCACGTTTGACTTGGCTTAATATTACTTGATAGACCGTGAAGATTAGCACCAGAAGAGCTGATGGAATTTGGGGGACCGAACAGAATTACCTCAGGCTCATCATCGTTAAATTTAAGGAAATTTTGGGACATCCAGGATTTAAAATCAGAGAGGCAGGTTGTGAGACTACTTAAGCAGCTAGGATCTGTGGGTTGAGTGTCATCAAGAGACAGGGTCTTGATTCCTACCCAAGTCTCTAAACAAGTTAAGAGGATACCATAATTGACTGCATTGAATGCGGCACCCAAATCTAAAAGAACTACAATCGAACAGTCACCTCTGTCTGCAGACAGCAGTAGGTAATTAGTTATCTTAACAAGAGCTGTCTCTGTACCGTGCAGTGCTCTAGACCCAGACTGGAAACAGTTTAAAGCATTATTTTATGTTATTAATAAAAGATAATATCAGTTAAGATTTGATAACTTTCTCCAGAGCCTTAGATAAAAAAGACAATTTGGAGTTTGGTTTATAATTACTTAAGGACAGCAGGTCCAGATTAGGTTTAGCAATGGGTGAACAATAGTGTGCTTAAAGCTGTCAGGAAAAGAACCAGAGGCCAGAATTGTTTTTAAATGTGTGAGATAACAGGTCTAAAAGTGGGAAATACCACTTTGAGCAGCATAGTGGGGATGATCTCTAGCATGCAGGAGGAATATTTTATATGGAAGTCTGTACTCTCTCTGTCTCTCTAACACTGAAATTGTTATGGGTTGAAACTGGGTAAAAGAGGCATTTTTTTGGATGGCTCAACATAGATAATCTTTTAAGGGCTGGAGTCTGATCATTTAGCCAGGGGAGGTTATTTGATTTTTGTTTCCTAGTAAACTGTGCAATTTTTGTCAAGGATGGATAGGCACCGGCCAGTAAATGAACTTAACAGTGAATTTAACTGCAGGTGCTACCTGCAGAGCCAGCATTGAGAATGTGAGAGCGTGTTACAGGATAGGGATGAGGAGCCGGGAGCTTTTTGGTCATTTCTACGCATATCCACCAAATTAAGACATTCGAGAAAAAATCAGATACGAGTAGCAGGTCTAAAGCATAGATGTCATTTACACTGGGGACGCTGGGGGCATGTCCCCATCACTTTTTGAAAGCACTTGCTGAAAGTTTTCTGAAAATTAGCTTGCAACAAGAAATGTTAAATAACAAATAAAATTCTATGAGAAAGGTTTACCTGCACGATAGAAAAACATGAAATGCAATGTAAATATAGAGAAGAAACAGATGCCTGTCCAAAACCCCAAGGCCTTTATTCATCCCAAGGGAAATTGTTGTGCAGCAGCTGCAGAACAAAGTAGGGAAGAGAGCAAATATACTGTAAAATATCATCAAGGTGCCAGGTAAGTGACTTTAACATATTGTTGTCCCCACAGGTGTCACTGTTGCATAATTTAAATTTTTTTCACTCTTTTGCACTAGAAATGTTTAGACCTGAGCTGTTGCATGGGACCATGTGGATTTACTGATTATCAGATAGAAGTAGTCTCCTAAGCCAATGGGGAGCTGAATCATGCCTAAATGTGTTCTTCAGATCTCGCATTTTTACCTAATTCACCCCCCCACACAAACCACCATCCCTGGAGCCCCCCGCGGTGCAGTTTGCATCTCGCAATCAGGCAGACCTTTGTCATGATGCGCATGAAAAACCCTGTGGGCCTCATAGCCTGAGTCATGTTCATCAAGTGTAACGCTTCTGATTTACATTTTTATAAAGCTAATAGCTTTATAAAAATGTATGATTCACCTTTTAAATGTTTCAACCCACTCAGGCCTAGATTCATCTGTAATTTCTGTAAATATCCTTTAATATTTATATTCTGTTCATGTGCATTGCAGAGAATATCCTGGGCTGATGCTGGTATTAGATGGTGATTGTGGTATACAAAAATCTTTCTCCTTTCTCTTTTTCAGTTTAATACTCCTGTCCAACAGTCCTGTGGATACATTTTTTAACAGAGAGCAAGGCAACAAGCAGTACTTAATGTTTGGATAATACTTTCTTTCCCCCGTGGAGGAAATAATGTACTGCAGAGTTGAAGAGAGCAGGTGGTAGATGCAGCTTCCTCGCTCTTACCATGTTTTGGCAGTAGATTATTTATAAGGAATGATCTGTTACTGTTTCATTTAAATTTTAAACTTTTTTATATTTCCCTGTTGCTTTTATATTTTATGTAAAGCACTTTGAATTACCTTGGTGTTGAAATGTGCTATATAAATAAACTTGTCTTGCCGTGCCTTGTATGGTGGTATGTGTCATCCTCAAGCTCAGGTCCTCTACCAGAGGCCTGGGAGTTTGAGGATTCTGCGCAGTATCTTAGCCGTTCCTAGTCTGCACTCTTCTGGACAGAGACCTCTGATGTTTTACTTGGAATCTGCTGTTGCCACTTTCCCAGTTTGGGGGTCACAGCCCCCAGTGCTCTGATTACCACTGGCACTACTTTTGCTTTTACTCTCCACATCTTTTCTAGCTCCTCTTTCAGCCCTTGGTATTTCTCAAGCTTCTCGTGTTCCTTCTTGATGTTGCTGTCGCTTGGGATTGCCACATCTATCGCTACAGCCTTCTGCTGTTTGTTGATCAACACGATGTCAGGTTGGTTAGCCATCATTCTGGATCTTGAAGTCCCACAGGATCTTAGCTCGGTCATTCTCAACTACCTTAGGAGGTGTCTTCCATTTTGACTTTGGGACTTCCAGCCCATACTCATGGCAGATGTTCCTGTACACTATGCCAGCTACCTGGTTATGGCGTTCCATGTACGCACTTCCTGCCTGCATCTTACACCCTGCTTTTATGTGCTGTACTCTCTCAGGGGCATCCTTGTACAGTCTGCACCTGGGGTCCTGCCTGGTGTGGTAGACCCCAGCCTCTATTGATACTGGGTGCCTGTTATTTAGGTATTATTTATTAAGAGTTTTACCCTCAAAAACTGAGCACATCTGCCTTGTCAGAACTGTGTAGGTGTGATTTGATCAGATTTGATTGACAGTCGCCTGGCAACCCACCAACTGTCATCAGATTCTGGGTACTTCTCAAGTCTCTTAATTGCATCCACCTCACTTGCGTCTTAGTCCCGCCGAGGAAAGGAACAAGGAAACGTGTTTTTAGAGACATGAGACGTCCTTTCCCCGAAGCATCACTTGAAGCGACGTCCGTTTCTGATGATCCAGCTGGGATCAGCTGTCAGTCGGCTCTAATAGCTGTAGAGACTTTTGATGGAGTTTGTGTCTGCACACATGTCCACTGTGTTGATACTAATAGCAGCATGATTCTCTCTGTTTAACAAACACCTGCACATGAATAATTATAGGTTACTGTATGTCTTGCTCAGAGGCACAGGATCATTTCTACTGGCACAATGCTATATATATATAATGCTATAGGCTATTATTTGCATTTATATTTATTGATTCTGATTGTGAATTCATTATTGAATAACCCAGAATAAGATAGTGTCTTTTGATTTATTAGACTAAATGTTTAAGGGAAATTGAAATGATGTAACTCATATTAAAGTCAACGCTCAGTTTTAGGCTTTCTGTTTATTTCCTCTTCTGATATCTTTAACACTACTGCATTCATTTTATTTCAAAGTCACATCCCTCATCACCGATCGATCATTGCGTTCCATTATATCAATCCAACGCATTTTTTTTTTAGTGTAGCAGCTTTTATTTATACTTTCATCAGCTGATTTTACGGAGCCGCCAGCTGCTTTCATCAGACACAGTAGGTGAGATGGCTGGATGTGCGGGCTTTATTTTCCTTTGCTTGCCTCATTAGAGTCTTTAGTGTAGTTTAGTGACTTGTCCGACTCCTTAGGCTAGGCTACTTGTTTACTATGTTCTATTGTCGTCTATTTGGACTAAACACAGGAATGATCAGCCTCTCATATGATTGAATGGAAATGAGTAAAACGTGTTTCTTGCTGACAGACTCTCTGACTCTCTCTGACTTTAATTGTCTCCATTATAAAAGTTGAAGGGAGAAATAAAAGGAAGAAAATCTTTCTAATAACTGAAGAAAGTTATCTGTCCTGATGTATCAGATCAGTCCGATCAGCTGCCATGTCCAATCAATATAACGGCTACCCAATAAGGGCAGTAAAAGACTTCCGCGAAGGATGCACTGGTGTATCCTCCCTCATAGCTCCACAGAGATCGCTCCTCGACCCTCGAACCTCGCTCCCCGGAGCGCAAATAAGAGCTTTGGGACGGTCTGCATGACAGCGGAGTGGAAAAACTTCCGATTCAACCGAGGAGCGAGGAAATGACAAATAAGAGACTTGAGGAGCACCCTGTGATTCAAATGTGTCTAAATCCTGATTGGTGAATTGAAATATTTGACATCACGTTTTTCCCAACTCAGCACCACCTGCTTCAAACCAGTGAGCCGAGCAGAGAAAAAAAAACACATATGCAGAAATGTATTATATGAAATAACCCAAACTGTTATAACTTTGGCAGAAAATAGTGTGTTCATGTAGGACCTTTTTATTTTCTGGGCTTTTACTGTAACACATCCATCCCTTAAGAAAATTACTAATTGTTCTCGAGAAATCCTGTTTTGAGAACAAATAAAAATCCAGCAGAGTTGGAATCCTTTTGAAAGAAGTCCTCCCTTTATTTCCTCTTAGTGAACTTCTTTGAGCAAGAGTTGAACATGTTTAAATTGTGAATTGAAGCTCGCTGGTTCTCAAAATCAGAAACCATTGCTCATAGTAGCATAAATACTCGAGTATCAAAAGTTTATGTGAACACACTAATTCACACTTTTACCTGATCCTGACTAATATCTGGGTTAGTTTGTGCATGCAAATATGACCTTGGACAATTCCAGTGGTGGAATGTAACTAAGTACATTTATCAAGTACTGTACTTAAGTATCAATTTGAGATAGTTAGTTAGTTAGTCACTTTTACTTCTGCTTTCTGGGGGAAATATGGATTTTTTTCTCCACTACATTTATCTGACATCTTTAGTTACCTGTTACTTTACATATCATGATTGTTTTCTTATAAATCAATAGGATCAATACTTTAAATGAAGGACTTACCATACCTATTACAAGAATGGGTATTTTTACAGTGATGTATTAGCACCAAAAACCTATGTGTTTTTCTTTGTCTATCAGCTGAAAAACGCTCTGAAGATTGATCTGTGTTTGGACCAGGGCCTGACAATGACAACGTCCCCATCCTGTATCTCTGTCATGGGATGACACCTCAGGTTAGAGCACTATTTCATGCAGCATGTAGCGTCACCTCTATATTTCATTTCCATCTTGGGTCTTCTTACTCAATAAAACCTGTTCCACCTTGACGAAAAATGCCTCTCCTTTCCTCTGCTTTGAGATTGGATCAAACTTAGTATCTTTTTGCCTCATAAAACAGGATCGGCTTTTCTATCTGGCCCTTTATAGAAACTGTCCTCCATGTTTTTAAATGCATATTAAACTCAGTGCCATTTTTCATACACCTCCATTTATGAGTGACATGTCCCAACTGAGTCTAGCTCAGAATAAAATGTCACATTATTGATGAAACACAAAGTTATATTGTACCTGAACATTTATCACATACATTTAAAAGATTAAAAGTAAAACTGTTTATTTCAGGTTTATTTCAACCACTGGCTTATTATATGCAGTTTTTCATCATGTCTTTAAGATCTTATCTCTGGACCACTTGTTCAGGATATATCTCAGCCTAAATAACAGGGAGTTTATGTGTCTTCCCATGTTAGCACAGCTTGATCATTTACTTTCTCGAGTCTCTTCCAGCTTCTATCGATCCCTTTATCCCATTATGTCTGAGCAGATTGTTTTCAGAGATTGTTTAACCTTGCTGTGGCAATCGTAAACTTGTCTTATAGAGTGTGGCTTGATCTCACATTATCCCTTTCAGTTCAAATGAATCTATCAGGATGTTTCACACCCATTACGCCTGTATTAATATTCACAGCACAGTGCAAATTAAAACTGATTTGGGAGAAGTCTGTTTAATCTTAGTAACATGTTTTCCTTAAAAAACTCAGAAGTGAACATCTGCCGCCTGTTCTGAGACCTAGATAACTTTGAAACTTGCTAATTATAAATCTATTATATGTTATAAATCTCTCATAAATCCGGGTATTTCAAACAAAGGATTGGCATAGCACCAGTGTTCCTAATGAGATTAGGGATCTCCTCTGCAAGGCAAATCTAGTGTGCTCTATTTTTATGTTGCCGTGTTACATCATCAAGAGGAATTAGTCCCTGGATTGCCTCTATAAGGGTACATGTTCATAGACTGTTGCAACTGTTTGCTGAAGTCAGTCAAATTGTGTCATTGTAAGTGCCAACTCTACTTTTACTGATTTTCCTTGGGAGAGCTAGACTTTGTATCCGAGGTGCTGCAGTAAAAGCAGTACATTAACGTGCTTAAAGGAAATTGCACAGGCACACATGAAAGGAAGGGCATTACAGAGCTCACAGTCCAACGCGTGTTGTCAGCAAACATACTGTACAACACTTAGGCTCCTGCAAGTAATAAAACATACCGACTAAAGCCCAGCAACGAAAATGAGCAGCACAAATTTTAAAAATGACACTCAACAGACTGTTTAATGTCTAGTGTGAAGTAAGACAATCAGAAGAATAAGCAAACCTGCTTTTTTTATTCATACTAAAAGAAAATATCTAGCTTTGACAGCTAATGGGGGTGCTGAGTCAGAGACAATCTTGAATGAAATATAGACTTCTACAGACAGAGTCCCTGTCCCCCATACTCTTGTTACGCCTCTTTATTGTTTGGATTCTGCAAACCAATTAATGTCTCCTCAATTGGCTACTTTCCATCTCTGTAAGATGCACAAATTATACAATTTCATGTCATCTTATACAGTACATCCTTGTTTATCACTGTGTGTGCTACACCAAACTAAAGGCAGTATTAAACCACTCTGAGCACTGCTCTGTCTGTAAATACAGTCGACAAATTATCTCGCTCTCTCTTTATTCTTGCAAATTATTTTCAGCTTTTGGCAACTTCACATGGGCAAACAACTGTCCTTGAAAAAAGCAGTTGGGAGGGATTCATCAGAGAGGGCACAAGTATTCAGGTTGTCTCCTCATTCCTGAATTAATAATGGGCTTATTTTGTCTGCCTTGCCTTGTCTTTACTTGTCCTCAATTCAGTCAGGATAGCTGCATAAATGCGCATATTTAGTGTATGTAAATCAACCTCATAGAAGTCTCTTTCAAACCCAAAGACAACCCAAGAGGAAGCCTCATTTGCTGCATAGTTTATTACCTGTATGTTCACATACAGCTCTGGAAGATCCATTATCTAAATGTCAACCCCAGCAAGTTGCACTACACAGCTTGTTCATAGCAGGATGTGGTGTTTCTTGCAGAATGTGTACTACACCAGTACTCAGCAGCTCCACATCGGGCTCCTGAGTCCCACCATTGACGATGATGACAACAAGTGCCTGGTGGATGTGAATAGCAGACCGCGCCTCATTGAGTGCAGCTATGCCGCAGCCAAACGCATGAAGCTCCACTGGCACTTCACTCAGGTGACAACCCATGACACAGCCCCCACACATGGTCAGAAAACACTCAGTTAACATTCAGTTTGCAGTTTATGTTCAGCCCCAGTGAAGGTCATTTGTTGAATGCGACAGGAAAACAAACTGCGGCGGTAGCTTTAAATCCTGCAAGTGGTTTAATTTACTGTTTGACCGGAGTTCCCCTCAATCCTGCAACTCATTCAGACATGAAGAGTCATTGAAACTTAATGATTGTCTTTCTCCATTAGCAGCTCTGTGCTTGCAAAATGTGTTTTAACAGAGCAAGCAGCCACCTCACAAAATGCCCCATGACAGTGGGTGAATTGAATTTACTGCATGCTTTGATTTGGGCTCAGAAGACCTCATATTGTTGTCTGGTATGCTGTCAGTGCAGTTTTAATTATAGATCTTATTCCTCTTTGAGCCAAATATGCATAACATCCCAAATGTGCCTCATATTAGACACTTGTTATAATGAGCACAGTATTCTTTTGACCATGTCGCCTCTGGGCTGCCGCAACAGGTGTGTCTGTTTGGTTTTACAGCATAATGTGCACAAAGTGTGAAATGGTTTTATGTGCTTGAACTCATATGTCACATATCCTCACACTGAACTTTAAGTGGTTATTTTTGTTAACTTTGTATAATTTAGTAAGTAGGGTGGGGACTTATCAGCAAGCCTGGAGCATATCACATCTCTGAAATATGGCATCAATTATTGATACAGTTTTGACTGCACATGTGCAAAGTGTCAAGCTCAAACCGAAATAAATGCAACCATAGCAACTTTGGGGGGTATGCAGTGTACAAATTAGACAGCAAGAATTCAAATGTTGCACCATACTACACTAAACCTGATAAACAGAAGATTCTCATAATCTCTTCTCACTGTAAAGACACCGAATTATCCACGAAGAAGTGACTTAGACAAGCCTTAATTTGTGAAAGTCATAGCTTAGATAAGTTATGTTGGCAGGTGCTGATTTTTGCTGATAACAGCAAACATATGTTCTGTGGGAGAGACTGTATGGTTTGTTGAGCTTGTGTGTTTTGTGGGCATGTGTGGGTGTTTTTATTTTCCTGTAACAAATACTTATTGTTCTTTATATTGCATAGTAAATTTAATGTAAACCCTAACAAACCATAGCATCCTAAATCAAATAACCTTCACACCTGCTATATGCACATGGCTGTTTAAAGAAGCTGTACAGAGACATTATATAGATAACTTGACTGAGTAAAACCTAGAGTAGCTCCTGTCATCAGCTCAGGCTCCAGATTTTCATGGATTCTGGGTTTGACTTTGGCTTTGTTCCAAGCCTCTGAATTAGCACCCACATCTTTTGATTTGTTCAGCGATTCAAATGGGTCTGGTGTTGTCCTAATGGCCTGCTTTTTCCTCCGGTTTGAGAAATAATCGGCCAGGCAGGATTAAAAATAGGGAGGTAATCTGGATTAAAATACCGGTGTACAGGTTGTTGTAAATTGACTTACAAAAACAACAACAACAACAAATGATAACAAAAGTGAAAAAAAATGACAATTCAGTCTAATCCCTATGGCTAGCCGTGCTCTAAATCAAAGTCCACTTCCTGTTTTTGGTACACCTGTACTCACCTATCCCTTTTCCTCATGCAGGAGCTTTGTTAAGTAATTCTGTCTTTAAAATACGCTGTGGGTCACTCACCCTAAAATCCACTGACTGCGCCACGGTTGCTGGAGCTAATCACTGCTATTTGCTTTTGAGTCCACCAGACGTGGCTGCAGCACGTTCCAGAAGCGGCTCTCCTCTCCGCAGAGAATAGGTAGCAGGTCTATTTTTGACGTAAGCTGTGTCAAGCAACACAGAGCAGATCGAACCAGGCAGGAAGTCAGACACAGAACGGCAGAGAAAATCTGGTCCGTTTTCAAAAGAAACACCCTGTGGAGATCCCGATCGTAAAAAAAAAAAAAAAAAAAAAAACACAGTAAAGACAGACACAAAAAGAAATAATGTAACTACATAGCCTACTTAATCATGCAAATACTGATTACCAAATCAACAAAATCTAAACATGTAATTTGGGGATTTGGATGCATCAAAACCGTGGCGCAGCTGTAACGTGCCATAGCCAGAATCAGTGGATTCCCAGTGGCAGTCCGTTACAGCATCAGTCACCATGTTTCCATCTAATTGTCACACGTATTTTATGTGGACTTTTGAATTGAAAAAAAAGACAAAGAATCAGGCACATTTCCATCAACTAGTTTGGAACCAGATTACGTAAAGCATAGTTACGTCATGCAGGGGTTGACTGGAGAACCGGGGTAGAAGTACTGTTGGAGATGAGGCTGATTGGTGGCAGGTGTGGCAGGCAGAGGAGGTGGCTGACGAGGTGCAGGTGCGGGTCGTTGGCTGGGCTCAGGAACGGAGGGAGAGAGAGGGAGAGCACACGCAGGGGAGGAGACACAGGGAGGCAGGCAGAGTACAGGAAAAACAGAATCACAAACAAAAAAAAAATGACATTACCAGGACACTCACAGTCAGCCGGGCAGCCACCACAACAGGGCCCCCTCCTCAACGGACGCCTCCGAGCGGACCTCCTAGTTGGCTGGGAAGGGCTTAGCAGAAGTCCGTCAGTCGCACTGGGATCCGGCTGGTGGGGGTCCAGGGTCCAAAACAAACGAGAGACACAGAAGCTTCAGAGAGGGGGACAGGGCTGGGAAGGGTCAGGTGAACGGGCGGGGCAGAACTGAGGGAACAGGGCCAGACGGGTGCTGGAGGGCAGAGCAGGGACCAGGGAGTTCTGGGGGGTGTCCCGAGAGCAGAGCAGGGGGACCAGGGAGTTCAGACGGGCGTCCCGAGGGCAGGGCAGAGAGGGAATGTGGTCGACGGGAGGACCGGAGTCCCCAGGAGGCTGGCGGGTAAGGCATAACCTCTCCGGAGGTCGGGCTAAGGGGCGACTGGGATGAGGGCGAGACCCCTCCGGAGGCCGGGGAGCAGGGCTGAAGGCCGGCAGCAAGACAGCAGCAGGGGGAAATCAGTGATGGTACTGTTGGGCTGAGGGCCTTGGTGCAAGGAGCAGGGGTTGGACGGACCACGGACGGGGCTGCAGCCGGTCGATCCACCAACAGAGCACGAGGAGCAGGGGTCGCCCGGACCACCGACGGAGCTGAAGCCGATCGATCCGCCAACAGGGCACGAGGAGCAGGGGTCGGGCGGACCACCGGCGGAGTTGACGTTTGTCGGTCCTCCGACAAGGTATGGGGGGCCGCCGTTGGCCAGACCACCAAAAGGGCACAGGGAGCAGGGGTCGGCTGGACCACCAGTGGGGTTGAAGCCAGTCGATCCACCGACAGGGCACTGACGTGGCTGACGTCGGTCAGTCCTCCGACAAGG